GTGAGGCCCCAGCCGCCGCAGGTCTTATATATTCCCGCCCAGCGCTCGTAGCGAGAGGCTTCCTCGGCCGGCTTGTGGAGGATGTGTTTGTACAGGTCCCACCCCTGTTCACGACCCCACTATTCGCAGGCGGCGCAGAGCACGCCGTTGTGGTACATCCGTTTGAAATAGTTGAACCACACCGCCACGAAGCACAGCTTGCTTCTGATACTCGTCCCGCGGGAACGAACTCCCATCGCGGCGATGAGTCGTGGGCGGCGGCCGAGCTAGAACTGCGCGGGTGAACAATACGATCGCCTCCGTTCATTTTTCTTTACTGGGGGGGGGGGGGCGTCAGGTCGCCGGTGTCAGGTGGCTGTGTCGGCTGCTCGGCCAGCTACCTACAACTCAAGCCATGCTGAGCGGGTGGGCGGCGGGCGGTCTCGGTAGGGGGACACGTTCTGGACATTCACGACCAACTTCTTCTGCGTGCGTTCGTGCTCTATGCGCACGAGGAGGTCGTTGACCCTGTCGCGGATAACATAGGGGCCTTCCCACTCTCGGATTAATTTGCGGTTTTGTCCGTACTGGCGCACGGGGCGATACAGCCAGACGCGGTCTCCCGGCTTGCCGCTGAAGAGTATGGCCTGCACGTCGTGGTTCTGCTTGGTCCGGAGTGAGACCGCGTAACGGGAGGCGCGCGCTTCTTCTTGGATGGTCCGCATCGTGGAGCGCAGCCAGCGCGGGTAGTTCTTAGCTAGACAAAGGGGCTCCTCACCGGGGGGCGGGCCGCGCGCCAGGTCCATGGGCAGGTTGAGCATCCGCCCGTACAGCATCTCAGCTGGGGAAATGTGCGTCGTCGGGTGGGGCGCCGTCCGGTAGGCGTTGTTTACTGATTGATTCAGCCTTGTAAGTTGAGACTCGTAATTCTGTTCCTACCTCATCTGAGGCAAGCCTCAAAAATTGTAATGGCTTTGGTTGGATTATGAAAACTTGATACCCAATCATAGCTCTGAGACTTGTGCCTCAGCTTCGGTGAGGAGAGAGTAACTATCCTTTTCTTATGAGGACAAAGCCAACATAATTGACAACATATTGAATTTTTGGGATCGACTGTTCTTATTCTTTTCAGTTACTATGAAGAATTTGATGAGTGAAACAGTGTGTTCTTGGCTTAGTTAACATATGATAAAAGGTTTCCCACTATATGTTACATTACTCTACTTTTGAAACAATGGTAAGAACACAACCTTATTTCTTGCAAATTGTTCTTTCTGTAACTATGAATTTATAGTTATTTGTCTTATTTTTTACAGCTTCAT